GTTGGGAGAAGATTTTCGATGCATTTGATTTTGAACAATCGTAAGTGGTTTACTTCAGGGTTTTGGTATTGTTTACGACAGCTTTCTAATATACCCCTGAAAGCTTTCCAATCCTGTTTTTGAATTCTTGTTACTGAATACTATTTAATAATGCTATTTAACATATCAAATGATATTATTAAATAGCATTCAGTATGCCAAATTATTTGATCTATATATTTTTACCTATTTTTATGATTTTTATAAATTAATAGCTAAAGAATTTGTTATAGCAAACTCTGAACAAAATATCTAAATTGGTTCAAGCTAAATAACTAATTCGCAAACGAACTTATAATGATGCTGAGTTGGTTTATAATATCAACAGGCTGAGTGATTTGCCAAAATAGGCATACAAGTCAGAGTCGAAGTTAGAGTCAGAGTTAAAGATACAAGAGAAACAAGAAAAACAAGAGAAGGAAGTAAAGATAGTGAAAGAAGTAGATATCAGAAAAGTAAGCAAGAAAAAGTTAAGGTTAATTAAGGAATTATAGTAAAAAATTAAGAAGGCTAAAGAAAGTAAAGAGAAAGGTAAAGAGAAGAGTAAAGAGAAGGATAAAGAAAAGAGTAAAGAGAAGGGTAAGGTGATAGAAGAGGAGAGACCATTAAAAAGAATAAGGATTAGTAGAGGAGATTATAAAAAAAGTGTAGTATATTTGAGAAAAAAAGAGTTTCGCACTAGTGAAAGTGCAAGTACTGATGAAATTAGAGATGCTTTAAAGTTAGCAAGTGTTAATATTGAAGTTGAATTATCAGAAGAGAAAGAAGAGCTGGAAGAGAAAGAAGCCTCAAGAGAATAATATTTTATTTTATATTTTATTTTATTATTGTATTTTTATATTTTTATATTCAATAAATTGTAAATTTTATATAATGAAAATAATCTGAGTAGTAGTAATTTATTTATGAGTTGCAGTATTTTTAATGTATAATATAAATAATTTATTTCTAAGTGGTAGTGATTTTCACAGTGTATTAATAAATGATTACTGAGTAGCAGTGTTTTTATAAATAATTTATATCTGAGTAGCAGTGATTTTTATATAATATATATATGAATAATTGTTGTGTAATAGTGTTTTAATAAATGATTTATTTCTAAGTAGTAGTGATTTTTATATAGTGTATAGATGAATAATTGCTAAGTGGCAGTGTTTTATATATGAATGATTTTTAAGTAGTAGTGATTTTCATATAGTTTATAGATGAATGACTACTAAGTAGTAGTGTTTTTATATAAAAAGATTTTCAAAATGATGCAATTTACTATAACAATTGATAGCTAATTTATAGCTGAATAATAATCGATTATTAATCATAATAAATATTGCTAAATAATTGCTATTTAGTACAATTACTGCTACTTAGCTATTTTATTCAATAAAAATTTGGCATTGCTAATCAGCAATAAATCAAAAATAAATCAGAGCTTAAAATATCCCTAATTTATTTTCGATTTATTGCTGATTGGCAATGCCAAATTTTTATCGAATAGCATAGCTGAGTAGTAGTAATTGTATCAAACAGCAATCATTTGGCAATATTTATTATGATTAATAATCAATAATTATTCAGTTATAAATTGGCTATTAATCATTATACTGAATGGCATCATTTCAACTAGTGTTAAGGCTATTGATTTTTGATTTTACTGAATATTTTCTTTAATTTTTCTTAGTATTATTTTTTTTCTCTATTATTATCTATTATTTTTCTTATTTTGTTTTATATTTTAAAAATATAAATTATTAGAAATAACTCTATATATAAAAAGTTAATACTATATATAATAGTAATATTACAAAAATTAATTATATAGTAGTATAAAAAATAATTTATATTAAGCAAAAATATAATAAAAACTAATATCATTATGTAGTTTAATGAAATTAATTAGAATAGTTATATAATAACTAATAGCTACAAATCCTAGCTAGGAATTTTTAAGTATCTTCTTTTGAGAAAAAGAAGAGTTTAAAAAGGAAGCAAAATTTGTTATAGCAAGTCGAACATAGGTATCTTAAATAACAACTGGGTTAGTTACACTTTAAAGATTAAATTAGTATTATATAGCTTAGAAAATAGTAAAGAATATATGTAGTTATACTTTAATTTTTCTTAATAAATCAAAAGTTGTAACATGACTACTGAAAAAAAAAAAAAGTTATATAATAACTAATAGAGCAATAAATGAAGTAGTAATATAAAATATCATTAACTAAAAAAGTCTATTTTTGTATATAGAAACCCTACAACAAAAAATATTAGTAAGTAGTTTTAAAACTTGATCTTTAAATAGATATATTTTATGATCTAATAATTAGAATTAAATAAATTCTATATCATTAGATTCATCTTAGTAAAAAGAATCTAATGATATAAAAAGTCTGTTAATCTTAGTGTAGTGGTTAGATTACTAAACAGCTATATAAGAGGTTTGAGATTCAAATTTTACTATCAACAAATTTGAATAATTACTCAGACCTTTGTACTCAAATTACAATAAACTCTGTTTATTTCTAAAAGTTACAACTCTGTAAATTACATTGTACTAATGTTAATTAGATATTAGAAATATAATACAATGCTCAAGTTATATTGTATAAATAAATCTTAATAAGATCTATAGGCAAAAGATCTACATAGTAGAAATTCTAAGTTTAGTAAAGTAGTATAAATTTTAATAGTCAAACTAGTTAACATTTGATCTAATAAAAAACCTGAGTATGAAGGATAAAGATCGAGTAGATGTGAGTAGAACTATTGTGAATCTGCAGCCTAGTGCTGACTACAAATAGCAATATCAACTTGGCTTAGTAGCTAACTAGATTGAGAAGATTTATTTCATGAAATATCTAGCTAAAACTTGGAGAACTATATCTGGTAGAGAGCTATAGCAGAAACTAAGTTCATATGAATATTGACAAGGGTCTAAGCCAGATGAATCTATAAAATAAACATATAACTACTCTGATAAAAATTACTTCTGAGGTTAACTGAAACTCTACATATCAGCGTAAACACAAAATTAGGCCTTTTTTTTAGTCACTAAAAATATAATAATCAAATCAAAATAGATCCTAAAAAATCTATGTCTAAATATTTTTCAACTAAATAAACAGTATCAACTTATTAAGTCTAGCCTATTTCCTAACCCTTTTGCCTATTTCTCTTTAATATAGTAATATATATTCAAGTATATAATTAAGACTCAAGAATTATAAGTATTTATTTATATTTATTAAACTGTTATTATATTAAAGCTCTTACTAACACAACTTATAAAAAAAACAAAATGAGCAATGATGATGCTTTATGTTCTTTATGTAATAAAATGTTAAAAAACTTACATGGATTACATATACATCAAAAGGCTATTTATCAAACAAATACAAATTCTGATTGTTTTTCGTGTCCATATTACTCTCGAACTTACAAAACCAAAGGTGGCTTATGTCGTCATGAAACTCTTAAACATTATGATTATAATATATCTAGTGATTTTTTTAAACTTTCACAAAATCATATTAATGAAACAAAAGAAACTTTAGTCTATTTAATTAGATCTCGACTTATGCTACATTCAAATCATTCAGGTCTTCAAACTGCTTCTTCACCAATGACTGAATCAGAATTTGTGTGTATATTTCAAGACCATATTCAACGCTATTCTATTTGCCAGCAAAAATATATATGCCGTTTTGGAGGATATAATATGTACAATACCTTGATTCATATTTTTAATAACGCAAATTAGAGTAAAAGCATTTTTGAATATGGTTAATGGTCAGAAGTCATACTTGTATCAAATTCTACAAGATCTATGAACAATATTAAATCTTTAAGAAGTTCTCTTCAAGTAAACTCTGAAAATCTAGAAATTATTATTATATGGGAAAAAAAAATTAATGATGAAGAAGGAAATATATCGATAACAGGATGGATTACGCTAAAATTTTTAGTAGGACAATTT